TTATGTGTGAAGAAAAGCGAGTAACATTTGAGAACATTTATGTTCTGCAACCAGTCCTTTGACCATTGATAAACTCGCTCCAAATCTTTGTTTATATTCACCACATCCTGATTCGTCTTAACTACCGACGAAGATACCAACTTCAATGTTCTACGTTAGGGAATGTGGTCAGCAGACGTTCTACAAGTTAGGTCAAATTCGGTGGAAAATGACGAAAATGCATTTTTCTGCTGCGACTGTAAAATGGCTATAGCTCCGTTCCTAACAAGGCTAGACACTTGCGGTTTTCATCATTTGGTTCAGCTTGCTGAGCTCTATAATATGAGGTAGGTCTCGTCACTAATGTCGATGTAAATTATGGTCGGTTTTATATGAATTTGGATTATCCGCCGATGCCGAAAACATCACTCTCCAGTAGTATTTCTAGTGTTAGGACAGCCAGGCCCAATTTGATCTCAACATTTTATATATCATTTTGTAGCCCGAGAACTTCTGTATCGAATGATATATAAAGTGGAGTGGTTAACGGTAAAATGGCTGGATAATATAAGCGATGAACGCTGTCGACCGATGGATTTGTGGAGGTCGGAGCTAGTATTTCTAGTGTTAGAACACCCAGACCCAATTTGATCTCAATATTATATATATCATTTTGTAGCTCGCGAAATTCTCTATCGAGTGGTATACAGTAGATGAGATTTGCTTTGAGCATTTTTTTAACATCTTCATGAGGTATATCACTGACATTTTTACCATTTACTTTAATAAGAATATGACCAGTTTTAAGTCCAGCATATTGAGCTATACTTCCTACATGAACACATGATATTGAACATGGACGTTCATGCTGAATAGCAAGACCAAATCGTTCATGAGCGTAATGACGTTTTAATTCAATTTTATGTAAAATTGGATATGATTCACCATGATCAAGAGATAAATCTAACATATTAACATCTATAAAACAATTTTAGAAAGATTTATAATCATAGTTGAAGAATTATTTCGCTAACATATCTGAGGTATAAAACACCACATAATACTTATTTTAAAGGAACGATTAGTTTTCATAGTTTATTTAAAAATCAACTTATGAAAGTGACTCATTATTTATTGTCAAAATATTCGAGAGATTACCACTTCTACTTTTCGATAGGTATTTTTAGGAATTGTAGAGTTTTTAAACTTACCTCCAAAACGGGAAAGAGCATGTGAGTCTATTAGGCATCTTAGAATTACTCTATTTTTAAAGAAATGACTCTTTCAGTACCTTTTTTCAGCTGTGAGTGTAACACATCAAAGTGTAACACATATATATATCTAAATCTATCTTTCGATATCTTATTTAACATCAGTGTGTACGAAAGACTATATGCTTCACTCCTACTCTCATTAAGCGATGCAAATGTACCAGAAAATTGACTTTTCAAGAGATCAGAACTAATCTAATCCTTTATGTATCTCACGAAACTAAAATAAAAAAGGAACAACATTGTGGCATATTCCCTAGCTAAAAAACTGAAAACATAATAACTAGATGATTTTATTATTCTCATCAATGTTATAGACAAAATGTGTTTCTTATAGGAAGAATTTTTTCGTTTTCTGTTGTTTATAATTGAATCTTATTTATGTCTTGTTCAAAACTTTTTTCATTGCATAAATACTATATTGCGATTGTTTTTTCTTCTATGGGTTCAAATTTGACTCTAGTATGGAACAAAATATACGTTTTCTGTAAACAATGTCTTTACCCTATAAAAAAAATTCCAGTGCGGCACTGCTAGTGCGCACCGGTGCGCATGGCATGCCATCGGTCACTGGCACTGGTTGGCACCGGTGCGCACCCCTGCCCAGCAAGTGCCGAACCAGTGCCGATTGGCACCCGTGCGCACCGGTGCCGATATATTTCTGCTGAAAGAGTGCCGCACTGGTAAGAATCAGTGCCGCACTGGTAAAAATCAGTGCCGCACTGGCAAAAATCGGTGCCGCACTGATAATTTATTTAATCAATTTAATTAGTTCTTTATTATGGTTGTTTATGCTGAATTTTGTGTTAGAGTGCGGCACTGATCAGTACCACATCGACATGCCAAAACCATGCGGCATTGCCTCGGCACTTCTCTTATGAGAAGGAAAAAATGAAGTCAGAAAGACATTCGAAATATTAGACGTAGACCGTAGCGTTAATATAGATAGAAATTGTCAAAACAAAATGGTGATTGAAAACAAAACTTCGGCATCGGTGCCCAGAAAAAATAATTATTCGGCACCGGTGCGCACCCTTGCACAACCAGTGCCGATAAAATATTTTTTTGTAGGGTAGCTCATCTTGAGAACACAAAATGTTTTGAACAGTTCTTTATTTATAAAAATGTAAGTGTGTAGGCGATTTATTGTTTGTGCGTTTGTCTGTTTTCTTTTAATAAATTTTTTCTTTTTTTCTATCTTAATAGAATTTGTACATATATAAACAAAACATCGAGTTGTATAAAGAAAGTTTTGTTATCATTAAAGTAAGGAAATATAAAATGAGGTTTGAGTAAAAAATAGCCAATAGCAGAGAAGAAAAGATTTCCACTCAAATATTTTTTGGACAAAAAATATATAATTTCAATAACTATATATGTGTTTGTGCGTGCATTTTTTCATTCTGCATTTTTTCTCCAAAAATTTATTGTGCTTTATGCTTAAACTTTGTACATAGAAGTTGTAAGACTGTTTTTCGAATATACAAGTATAAACATCATGTTGCAGTTGAAATCGTAGTTATCTATAATACACTTTCGATCAAATATTATGTTAAAGTCTCATTAGGAGCATCCTGTGCTAGAAGACATCAGTGAGGGAAAAGTAGAAGTGGTAATCTCTCGAATATTTTGACAATAAATAATGAGTCACTTTCATAAGTTGATTTTTAAATAAACTATGAAAACTAATCGTTCCTTTAAAATAAGTATTATGTGGTGTTTTATGCCTCAGATATGTTAGCGAAATAATTCTTCAACTATGACTGTCTCCACGAAAATTCATCGGGAAATTCTCACGGAAGAATACTCACGAGACTTGTCTTTTAATTTCAGTTGTCAAAATTCAGAACGCATTAACTCCTCGAATATTATACTTATCTAATAGACAAATAATACAAAACTCGTAGAAAATCTGTTAAGACAAAGCAAATAGGTTAAAATACACTTAAGAATGATTGCACTATTTTTCAAAGAAATTCTAGTCTTCTTAATTCAAAAATTATTTGTTGAATTGAAATCGGATTTAACATCATCAAATGCATTGTCTAGTTTCACAAAAAACAATCTCTTGAAATTCATTTAAGATCCTTAAGAAGTACTCAAGAATGAAAGTCCATTAGATTATGAACATAAGCTATTATATTTTGTATTGAAAATAGTTTTTATATAAATTTTACTATTCATAAATACTCAGAATCCACTACAAAACTCTTAGAAAATCTATTAAGACAAAGCAAATAGGTTAAAATACACTTAATAATGACTGCACTATTTGTCAAAGAAATTCTACTGTCTTCTTACGTTATGTATGTTAACTATGAGCCGATGAACAATGCATTCGTATTTTAGAAAACGTGGAACTTGAAGGGTTTTGTGCGTGCATATTGTAGACAATAGTTATGAATATCTATTTTATTAATTATTTAAACGTGCCGATAGTATATACTCATTAAAAAAAAAGTTTATTCGCGAATAGTCAAAACATTTTCTGATCGGGTTGATCAAAATAATATACTGAAACATTCGTATGAAGTTTTGTACTGTACTCAGATTTACTTCAGAATAGATTGATTATATTTAACACAAATGTTTCTAGAATGAGTAATTTTAAAACACAAAATTTAAATCTTATTGCTCTACTATTCATTTTTTTACTGCGACACCCCCTCTCCCCGAATATAGTGTGCTACAGTGGGATATGCAAAGTGGAAAGTAGTGGATATTTTAGTAACTATAGACCAGAAAAAAGAATAAGGTTTTTCATGCTGTGTAATACACTTTGAGCCTATAGGCTGTGAATTCTAAAAATAATTAATTATATAATAAAATACTTGATTCGTCGTTGATCTTGATGATAAGCGAATTTGAGCAAAAGTCAAATGCGTCCACTCGTGATATATTCTTAAGATTTGGAAGTAGTCAAAAGTGTCAGATTACAAAGCCAAGTGTTTAATGATGGAGATGATCGAGAACAACTAATCGATATAACTCATGTTTTAGGGTACCTTCTCCTCCCACTTTTTTTGTAGAAAAGTTTTTATTTTCAGCTGAACGTAGTCTAATGTAGAGGAAAGTCTAGGCTATAAAATGAGACCACTCCCAGCTCTCCACGATCTTCCTTTAAAAAATTGTGAAGTTTTTAAGTTTTTCCTTCGAAGTCTAAAAAATCTCAATTTTTTAGTTTCGTAAATTTTTCTCTTCTTTCCTATATGTATTCAAACTTTCTTCTTATAAATAGCATGCTAGAAGGAAATGTGCTCTTCAAAATGAACGTCTTCCAGAATTTTCCGATGAATTTTCGTGGAGACACAAGCATCACCGCAAATGCCCTGAAAAACAGAGCCCTGTGTATATGTTTTCTCACTATGCGTTTTTTCTATAATCCCTTCAGTCGGGTCACATTACGACCCGTCGAAAAAATGGTTCGATACACCTCAAAATTTTATCAACCTGAATTTTAAAAATATCATTATTTAGAGTAAAAAAAGAAAAGACGAAACAAAAATGAAGAGAAATTGTCTATCTCTGTTTTCTTCTATCTCTTATTCTTAGCTTGTTGAAAATAGACACGAGGCTGCTCTCTTGAGAAATATGACAACGTATAATAGAACTGCGACAAAAATCGTTTCTTTTCTTTTTAAAAGAAATTTTATTCTTTCTCACGTGTTGTTTTCCGTTATATAGTGTGAAAAAATATATGAAACAGTGTTTTTTTCTTTTCTGTGCATGTTT